CCATATCTTCAGTCAAAAATCACTTCTACTGTCGTGGTAAACAACCTGCTTCCCTATTTATAATGGTCTGGCCCTCTAGCAACTTCAGCGCGAAATTATAGCTAATTTGCCTACAAACGTCAGGTGGTCATAATAATCTGGCCACTCGGTGTATATCTCCAGGTGAAGTAACAAATGCCTCCGACCTCTGACAATGCTCATTATTATGCTCTAGGGAGGTCAAATGGCTTAGTTCAGGACCCTTGAATATTATTAGAATGTTTTTTGCCCTGTAGGTAGCCCAGAGGCATGGCAGTTGTCTGGTGTGGCCTTTTTTGGAGGGGGATTTCATGCTGATAGTGACAAATGTTAGTCATTCACTGTTCTTTTTTTTATCACCTAAAATCAAAACTTTTTTCTTCAAATCTATGTGAATTTTTAGGGGAAAAAAAGCCAATATATGTCCAGCATTCATTTCTACTCTTTTTGATCTTGAACAGCTTAAACATTCTCCAAGAAATCACTCAACTCCAGCGAACAATTTGCTTTCTTGTGGGAATGTGACTGTGTACATCAGCTGCTTTATTACCTGTACGTCACACCAGATGGGGATTTTCACACAAAGGATTGTCTTTTTTTTAATGTCTTTTCTTTCTATTAGACAGTGACTTAGCTAGACTGTTTCCGCATCTCAGGTCAGAGGTTTTGATGCATATGTTTGCAAATAAATGCTTTTCTGTACTTGAAACTTCACTGCGCTGTCAAGGAACCTCTCAAATATGTGGTCCTAAAACTATCTAAGTTCCCAATTATGGGGTAAATGTATGCATGCATAAATGGTAAGCAGGCTTACTGGGAGGCAGCCCCTTCTTCCATAAAGGTACAGCAACACACCGGAAACCAGGATGCAGATAGTTTTGGGTTAGGGAGACATAGTTTTGGGTTAGGGAGAACACTTTGCAGGCATGCCTTGATGTATTTGCAAATATATGCAACAAAACCCCTTTTTCTACCTGACATGTTCAAGTGTATCTATGATCAAAAAATAAACATGTATTTCTATATTGAATATCTGAATATCTATACACCCCAAATAACCATATTGATCCAGAAGTTTGTAAATGTGCTTAGTGAGATGCCCATAGGATGTACTTCCTCAATTCAGTGACACAATTTCAACTCTGCCCTGTGCAGGCCCGAATTTACTCTCTCTGCTGCCCCAATGCCAGGTTCCTCAATGCCCCCCCGCTGTATGGAGGCTGCATAAAAGTGATCTCAGCAACCTCGCCAAGATCACTTGTACTGAATAAGCAGCAGCTTCCCCTCTGTACATTTAGCCCTGCTTGCCCAAAGAAAATCTAAATGTAGAAAACAACTACCCACCCGGCGCCCGGAACTGCATGTCCTGGGCTTTGAAAGATAGGAATTCCACACCCCTGCTGCCCCTCTACTCCCTGCCGTCCTGAGGCCGGTCCACGGTTGGCCTTGTGCGAAAATCCGGCCCTGGCCCTGGGAATATGCCTTGCCTGTCGTGTGAACTACAACTCAACGTCTGAACTTCCCACATGTAGCCTTTTCATTGCTTGCGGAAAGCAATGCATGATGGGATATATAGTCTTGAGAAATGGAGGTTGCATCACATTAAGCAGCAGGGAAGAGATGCAAAGTACACTGGGAATCCAGGAAGTTATAGATGGGCAGACGGAAGGCAGCACTTATAGCGGGCAATAGCATATGTCCTCCTGTGACCCTAAAGAGAACTATGTCAAAAAAAGGTTGGGCCATGGTTCTCTTAAGTGACAGCTCTGAGTCTGCTGAGATAACAACCAAGATGGCGGCACCCAGCATCACCCATAGGGCTTCAGGATGTCTGCAAAAGGGAGACTTATACAGGTACAAAGCATGAATTACATACGTTAACGGCTCATCTAATGGTATGGAAAGATTGTTGTTGAAAGAATGCTACAAAATAAATAATAATTCCGCTTTAGAAAATTGGCTGGTCTGCATATAAGCAGCCCTCGCATCCTCAGAACTGAGGCAGAACTGTTACCAGGACACAAAGTTTACAGATCTGCAAGTATAAAGTTTTTGTTGAAGGAGAACTATGGGGTTAGGGCTTTTCCCCATAGTTATCCTAAGGGTAACGGGAGGACACAAACTAGCGTCCTCCCGTCACCCAAAGCTCAGTATACCACGAGCTACAACTACAGCTCGCGGTATACTGAGACGCCGCAGCCAGGATGAATCCCGATGGATCCCTACTGTCGAGATCCACCCAGCTGCGTGATTGACAGCTGGCTCTGCCTATCCAGAGGCAGAGCCAGCTGTACCCGCCCCCTCCCCCGTCCGTTCCACCAGTCAGCGCAGGAGGATCGGACAGGGGAATCCCTGCAGGGAGCCGTGAGTAACAGGCACGGCTCTCTGCAGTGATAGATCAAGAAGTGAGCGAACGCCGGTATGTGTTTGCTCACTTCCCGATCTATTGAGCTGACCTGTGACAGTTTCATTGTCACAGGTCGGCTAGAACTATGAGGCTGAGTGATTTTCACTCGCCTCATAGTTCTCCTTTAAAGGAGAACTATGGGGTTAAGGCTTTTCCCCATAGTTCTCCTTAGGGTAACGGGAGGACACAAACTAGCGTCCTCCTGTCACCCTAGGCTCAGTATACTGAGACGCCGCAGTATACCGTGAGCTGCTGCTCGCGGTATACTGAGATGCTGAAGCGGATCCCGACAATTATGCCGGGATCCGCCCAGCTGCGTGACTGACAGATGGCTCTGCCTATCTAGAGGCAGAGCCAGCTGTACCCGCCCCCTCCCCCATCCGATCTGCCAGTCAGTGCTTGCGGAGCGGGGAGGGGGGAATTCAGCCCCTCCCCTGTCACGGCAGAGAGCCGTGACAGGATCGAGAGGTGAGCGAACGCTGGTATGTGTTCGCTCACTTCCGATCTACTAAGCCGACCTGTGACAGTCTCATTGTCACAGGTCGGCTAGAACTATGAGGTGAGTGAAAAGCACTCGCCTCATAGTTCTCCTTTAAGGCAAGAAATCTTATTTCTTTCCAAAATCCTTCCAAAAAACAATTTTGCTGTAAGAATCATAAGAAAGAATGAAGTTGCTGGTGAATTATGCATTTGATTCAAAATCACATTGCCCAGTCTTTGCATTTGATGATAAAAGGTGTTGTTCCGTGCCAGCGAGATACAAAGAAAGGAAAGTCGCATACTTTTCAAAAAACATAGAAGCAAAGACGTGAAGCGGCTATGAATCTCAGAGGGGATAAGGTAGATCTCAGCTGGAAAAGCTTTTAAAGCATCTCATTTGAAAATCCCCTAGCACCTAAACCATGTCATTCTGACACTGCTGAAAATAGCAGGACTCGGTGTTCTCTGAAAGGCTTCAGGGACATTGTGACTATTATGAAAATGGCATTGTATAACCGGGCCCTACATCTCTCCAACTCAAAGCCAACTGATCTGGATTCCAAGAGACACAATATCAGACTGGAGCGTGTTGACACGCTATGTGTGGAATGGAATCTGTGCAGTCATCCCATACGAAATCAGGGGTCACCTCTGCACTATCAGGAGTGCCATGAACAGCCGGCTAAGAGCTTGGCTGTGTGTGGAGGTCCCTGTAGCCTGGTAGTATTTTCTAGCACAAAGTCACCTGCACTCCAAAGAAATGCGTTTGACATAAGTCAAACTGCCATGCCAATGTTTCGTGGCCTCACAAGGTCCCCTTCCACTGAGTCACCCTGAGGAAGAGGACCCTGCGAGGCCCCGAAACGTTGGTATTGCAGTTTGACCTATGTGACCTGTTATATTTATAATAAATTGCCATAATGCATTTCTTGGAGCGCTGGTGATGTTCTTCTCTCAGGGCCCTGTCACACCATCAAGAGTGCGTTCCAGTGCGTTCAGCCTCTGGAACGCAACCCGGCCGGCTCACTTTGTTTTGGGGTGAGAGGAGGTGTGGCGGTGCATTGAACTCAATGGCACAGCAGCCACGCCCCCCGCCCGCGGTGCAATCGCCGGCACCTGAACGCGTGGCAC